CGGCGCTATCCGAGCGCCGGCTCTGCTCTCAGCCTCCCTCCCCACTGACCCACATGCAGGGAGGGAGGCAGGAGAGGACCCGGCGCAGCTATTGCCGGCAGCTCCGCCGGGTTCCTCTCGCGAGATATGAGCGTTGCCACGGCAACGCTCAAATCTCGCGAGAGTGAACTCTAGCCCCACAGGGGGCTAAAGTTCACTCTCCACTGGACCACCAGGGATCACAGCAGCAACAAGGATCCCCTCCTCCACTGGACCACCAGGACCACGATCCCCCCTCCCTACAAAAGGTAAGAAGGGAGGGGGGATAGCAAATAATGTACCCCCACCTCCACCCCCCACAATCACCCACCCACATACAGCACACACACATACAGCACACACAGCACACACACATACAGCACAAACAGACATACAACACCCACAGACATACAACACCCACCCACATACAGCACACACAGACAAACAACACCCACAGACATACAACACCCACACACACAGCACCCACAAACATACAGCACCCACAGACTTACACAGCACCCACAGACATACACAGCACCCACAAACATACAGCACCCACAGACATACACAGCACCCACAGACATACAGCACCCATACACATACAGCACCCACAGACATACAGCACCCACAGACATACAGCACCCACACACATACAGCACCCACAGACATACAGAGCACCCACAGACATACACAGCACCCACACACATACAGCACCTACAGACATACACAGCACCCACACATACAGCACCCACAGACATACACATCACCCACACACATACAGCACCCATACACAGCACCCACACACATACAGCACCCACAGACATACACAGCACCCACACACATACAGCACCCACACACATACAGCACCCACAGACATACACAGCACCCACACACATACAGCACCCACAGACATACACATCACCCACACACATACAGCACCCACACACATACAGCACCCACAGACATACACATCACCCACACACATACAGCACCCATACACAGCACCCACACACATACAGCATCCACAGACATACACAGCACCCACACACATACAGCACCCATACACAGCACCCACACACATACAGCACCCATACACAGCACCCACAGACATACACAGCACCCACAGACATACACAGTACCAACACACATACAGCACCCACACACACATACAGCACCCTCACAAACACACACAGCACCCTCACACACACACAGCACACAAACAGCTCCCTCACACACACACAACACACTAACAGTACCCTCACAAACACAAACAGGACCCTAACAAACACACACACAGCACACTACCAGTACCCTCACATACAAACAGCACCCTCACACACAGTACATTAACAGCACCCTCACAAGCGTGCACACACACACAAACAGCACCCTCACACACGGTACATTAACAGCATCCTCACAACCACGCACACACAAACACCCTCACCCACATAGCACACTACCAGCACCGTCACACACACATCACACTAACGGCACCCTCACACAGCACACACACACACACACAGCAGTGTGTGTATGTGTGTATATATGTGTATGTGTGTGTGTATGTATGTATATATATATATATATATATATATATATATACATATATGCGGCGTGTGCTTGTGCTTTAGGGTGCACACCCTAATGCAATAGGCTGCGCACGCCTATGAGCACATTCATACAAAATTGGTGCTAAAATGTTACATATAATCCCCATTAAATCAGCTCAGGGCACACTGGGACTTGTGTTAGGGGTGCTGCCTTTCTTGGAATAAAAAAAATGGGCATTCTTAATTAATAAAAAAAATGTATGAATTGTTTATGCACGACATTACAGGAAGTGATGAGAGAAAAAAACAAAATACATTTGAAAGGGCAAAATTACATCACATATAAAGTACTTACAATACAATTTAGTTTTGTTGTATAGAGGGATTGCACTGTAGTTTGGAGAGATAGGAGCGCTCACTCAATGGATGTGTGATGGGTGAGGCTGCCATAACCACCAACCATGTGTGTGTGTTTCGTTAGGGATTGAGTTATACAGACACACACAAACATGCAATATGAACAAAGCAAAAATTAAGTTTTGCGTTTTGGAGAAGATATTTTTATAAGGGCATAGAGAGGATCTTCTCTCATTCTAAATACTCATAACAGTAGATAAGATCGAGTGAAAGGAAGATATTACTGTTTGCATAACAACAAAATAGTAAACAAAGTGCAGGTGATACATAGTACTTGCACAAGAGATTACAGCCTGGGGATATGTACAAGGATGTGCATGGTTGACACACAGACACAGACACAGTTAGGAAGGACTGTGTAATTATTGGGCAATTTACATTCAAGTAATAACTCAGCTTTATTTATAGTTTATACGGTGACAGAGAATTTCTTTCAGGAATGATGTGAACTGGTAGCAATACACAGAGGTCTGTTTATATGACATAACAATAAATGAACACAATAAACATTTGAAAACCCCACCCTGTATCTTCTATCTATTCATTTTTTAAAGAAACAAAGTAAAGGAATGACTCCTATGATCTATGCACACGTATAGCAACAGTCCTATTGTGCTTTACTAGAATACAATTTATTTTTTTCTTAATCTAAGAATTTTTAAAGCCAATATTTATTCAGACCGGCTCTATCAATTCCACATCGTTAAAAAAACATTTAAATAGATAGTCTCCGAAAAGCTTGCTAATCTAAACTCCTGTGGGTTGGATAAAAAAGGGAAAAAATATATTTCAAAGTATACACTGAGAGAACTGGAAAGGGTACAATTTAATTGTCAGCAGACGGCATCCTTAAGATGTATAAAACAAATAAAAAAAGTGCAATGTTCTTGTATGTATGTAGTGGGCATTGGATAGCATTGGATAGCATTCCCTTCATCCCCCATAAAACCATAACTTACCCCTTCAAATAACGACAGACAACTTCTTGGTGAAAACAGGCCACAGCATTTATTAACACAACCAAATACTGTATGACTCCTTTAAAGGACCACTATAGTGCCAGGAAAACATACTCGTTTTCCTGGCACTATAGTGCCCTGAGGGTGCCCCCACCCTCAGGGACCCCCTCCCGCCGGGCTCTGGAGAGAGGAAGGGGTTAAACACTTACCTTTCTCCAGCGCCGGGCAGGGAGCTGTACTCCTCCTCTCCTCCTTGCTCGCGACGTCATCGGCTGAATGCGCATGCGCGGCAGGAGCCGTGCGCGCATTCAGCCGGTCGCATAGGAAAGCATTTACAATGCTTTCCTATGGACGCTTGCGTGCTCTCACTGTGATTTTCACAGTGAGAAGCACGCAAACGCCTCTAGCAGCTGTCAATGAGAGGCTGGATTAACCCTCAGTATAAACATAGCAGTTTCTCTGAAATTGCTATTGTAACGGATCACCTGGCACCCCAACTGGGTACCTCCGTTAAAGGATGCTCCTAGCGCTTCCTGAGGACTCCAAGCACTGCAGCAGACAACACAACCACCGAACCGGAGAAGCATATGAATCCTCTCAAGAATATGAATGCTGTAGACAGTTGAATAGGAACCATACAAATAGGTTTACTCTCCTAGTAGTCAAACTGGAACAGCATACAATAAATCCTTCCCCCAATAATGAGACGACACTTCACTTTGAGGGTTAAAACAGGAACTCACTCCCTGTCACATACAGTCTCTTTTATTCCCAATCCACAAACATAGTACAGCCCACAGGGCGTTACAAAACAGCCAATCAATCCATACAATACACCCAGACACTCCCACACAAAATCCTCCCCTCTGGCTGTGATATGATTACTGAACACAATGGGTACTCTAATTATCACAGCCAGAGAAATACAGTTTCATAAAACACATCACAGGGACCCCAAAACATGCAATAACCCCATATATCCGTGGAACTGGGGGATCTGGGTGAACCACATATCCAAAATTCACCCAGATCCGTTCAGTACTTTGGAAAATACAGTTTAATGCAGATTCTGCAGAACATATACAGGCTAAATAAAAAACAATCACTGTATAATGTGTCCCCTGCTGTATAGTCCAAAACCACCGCACGATGTCTCTGTGCAACAAATACTGGCGAGATGGCACCGTGTTGAAAAGTCCACACAGTGTCTGTGAGTTAAAATGGCCGCCATCCATTGTTCTCACCATGTGCTTCTGATACAGGAAATGGTGGCCACCCAGTAACTCCACAGTATGTCCCCAGATGGTTCTTAAAAGGGCCAGCAGCAGCACAACACAAATCCATTATGCCCAAATCATGTCTTTAAAGGGCAATACATCCCAGGGGCCATAGTCACATGGCAGGAGGCTGGCAACCAGGCTTCTCCAGTGCATAGTGGCGAGGTTGGTTCCGCCACAGCTATGTTTATAAAAAAAAGGGTTAATCCTAGAGGTACCTGGCACCCAGACCACTTCATAAAGCTGAAGTGGTCTGGGTGCCTAGAGTGGTCCTTTAACATTTAACAAAATAATAAATATAATAAATTAACATAAACAATTTGCATATAGTCATACAGTAACCAAAGAAACCGTCCTTGCCAATCTAACTTCCCCAAGGCTCTCACCTCCCCCCCTCAGGATAATAAAAACATCTTCCTTTTCAGGGCTCCCCACCAACTCGGTGGGGCCCAACCATAATGCTCCCCACTGGTCGACTTACAACACAGTGGGGACACGTCCAACCTGGTACCTCCTCCAGGTTCACCATAAGAGACAGGGGGAGGATGAGACCCGGCCATTATCCCCCTTTTTCATCTAATCTACCAAACCATCCCTTATTTGGCAAGGACACACCCCTGCCTCGCTGTGACAACCTCCCGGGCCCAAAGCAGCAAATGGAGGGTGGGTGGGAAACTTGTTGCTGGCCCGGCTCCTAAGTGGCACTGAGGTCAGTCTGATCTGTCACCACCCACTTCCTCACATCTCACACTCCCACATGTAGCATATAGCCAATCATGCATCATCCATCCCACACTCATACATGTGCCCCTGTCCGCTAAGCTGCACACTCTCCCTGAGGCCTTGATGCCATACCACTGTTATAATATGTGTAACAAAACTTTTGCAAGACCCGGTTTTGGGTAGTGTCATACCGAATCATCCTTCTATTATTTATAGAAAAAGTCAAAATTTAAAAAATCTTATAGCACCCAGCTATCCAAAGAAAATTAATATCCATACAAATAACACATGCCGACATAAGGGATTTAAAGGATGTTCAATGTGCAAAGCATGCTATGGGATGAACTTGGGTGAATCCTTTAATTTTACCAGCTTTATTACTCAAACTAGTTTCCCCATTAAATCAGGTATTGGATGCCACATGGACTATGTTGTGTATGTACAGCAGTGTCCGTGTGGCAAACAATATGTGGGAAAAAAAAAGACTCCTTAAGATTCGTCTTATGGAGCATATCAATAACATCAGAAACGGTATGACCACCCATTCCGTACCGGTCCATTGCCATTCGTGTCCTTCTTTTAATTGGAGAGATTTTAAAGGTGCAGGCATTGAACAAATATCCCCCCATTTGAGAGGAGGGGACAGAGATCTTAAATTGTCTCAAAGAGAAACATGTTGGATCTATCGATTAGATTCCTTAGAGCCAAAGGGGATGAATGTTAATATCGATCTAGCTTGTTTTATGATATGATACTGTCCTCCTTTCTTCTTTTTTAGATAATACGAGGAAATTGATTGTTAAGATTTATTTAATTTTTCGAAAGGGATCTGCATCTCCCCTCAAAAAAAGGAATTTTTTATTTTTATTTTTTTCTATTTGTAGTTATTCTTCCATATTCATATCTATATATATATATTTTTGTACCTATAGGTGAAGACTCAGTTTCTACTGATTAATCAAATTTACTATCACTTAATAGTTTTCACATGCTCCGTTATTATGTTTTCGGGGTTTCTGTTTGATTTATAAAAAGTTTTTGATATAAAAGACTTTTTTTGATATGAAAGCCTTGTTTCATTAAATTTGAATAATTATATGTTTAATTTACATCA